ATGGATTGCACTGTCCTCTAAAATTATGTATTGTAAATTCTAACCCTTATACCTTGGTTAAGGAGCCTTGGTGGCACAGTGGTTAAGCACTCAGCTGCTAACTGAAAATTCAGTAGTTTGAACTTACCAGCTGCTCCGTGGAAGAAAGATGTGGCAGTCTGCTGTCATAAAGATTTACAACCTTGGAAAGCCTATGGGGCAATTCTAATCTGTCCTATAAGGTGGCTATGAGTCATAACTCAGTAACAATGAATTTTTTTTTTTTTCCTGTTGGATTTGGATATCTTACTTATATTCCCATTTGGGAATGGGTTTTCTCTGTTATGTTAATGAGATGGTATTAGTGTAGGGTGTGTCTTAAGTCAATCTCTTTTAAGATATAAAAGAGACTAAACAAGCAAGTACCACCAGCCACTCCTCGGAAGGAAGGTTGGGCAATCCCACTTCCGTAGTGATACTGCCTTGGAAACCCAAGGAGGGGTCGCTATGAGTTGGGGCCGACTCGACGGCACATAACAACAACAACAACAACAAACAAGCAAGTAAAGATGGTAGAAAATAGATGCCACACAACATGAATATCACCAAGTAGTCAAGGGATAGAAGCTGAAGAGACAAAGACTTTCCCCCAGACCTGATACACAGACAGACTTCCCCTAGAGCCAGCACCCTGAACTTGGACTTCTAGCCTTTTAAACAGAAAATACTTGTTTATTAAAGCCATCCACTTGTGATATTTCTGTTATAGCAGCACTAGATAACTAAGACAGGCGTTGCCAATAGAATGTTGCTAGAAATGTGGACATTAAATGTGCTTCTATGAAGCTTTAGAAGAAAATGATGAACGTGATTGGACAGTGGAGGAAGAATGATATTTTATATACAGTGGCAAAGAACTTGTCTAAATTATGTTCAAATGTTTGATGGAAGGCAGAGCTTGTAACTGATGAACTTGGATATTTGGCTGAGGAGATTTCCAAGCAAGGTCTTAAGGAGCTACATGGTTTTTCCTTGCCACTTACAATAAAATGCAAGAAGAAAGAGGTGGACTTAAAAACGAACTATGCAAAATGAAAACAAAACTTAAAGATTTAAAAAAATTAAGTTGTACAAATTCAGGACACACATTCCAGAATTTTTACAAAGGACATGGCTACACAATCTTTTGTTAAAGAGATTAAGCCTGTGACTGATGGATCTAACTAACTACAGAAAAAAAAAAAAAAAAAAACTCATCAGCTTAGACTGAAGGGGACACACAGGATGAAAAAAAGGAAAGCTGTTTGCCTTTTGGAATTCTACAGGCTGGAAACAGGCCAAAGAAACTGTATGAGTTGTCCTCCAAGAAAAGAAGAGGACTATCCTTAGAGCAGCTGGGAGGTCAGCAGAACTATTGGAAGGAGCACAGGAAGCAGGGCTACCTTGGTTCCAGAGGGTGGAGCCATAGTATCCTACATCTCAAAGGGTAGAGGCATGACCTCTGGACTTTCAAAGGCTGGGCCCATCAGCCTTCTGGGTGTCAAAGCGTAGAGTCTTCAGGCTCCTAG